AATTGAGCATCAGGACCTTCATGTACCTGATAATTGAGCATCAGGACGGAACGGAACGTTCATCGTGACAGACAGCATGGACGACAGGAGCACATTTACTCTGTAAACTTTATTTTCAGATATCTAACAGTTTGTTCCTCAGTCACAGATGAAGGTGGAGGATTTTACCACAGAATCTTTCATTTTTTACACGACAGTTTGAGGTTTATTTTTTAGTCTGTGTTTCTGCCTGCAGTGCCTCTGTGTGCTGGGCCTCCTCCTCCTCCTCCCCAAAATCACCATGGCAACTGAGCACATTTCCTATCTTCTATTACCCAGCATGCTTTTCTTCCTCCTATGTTTCCATCATGGCCGCCCCCACAGACCCTTCGTGTCTCCGATCAGAGGACAGCGAGAAACAGGAAGAATTGAACTTGGAGTTTCAAAATAAAACTCGCACACAACCTTTAAAATAGGTGTTCCAGCTGGGGTTGGATTTTAGACTTTAGGGCCATAATTCTTCTGCAGAAATGTTCAAACATTTTCTTCTTTGTTCCTCAGTCTGACCACAACATGAGGTCATCGTTCCATGAACCTGCCCCTCAGTCAGAAACAGCAGAAGTCCTGCGAGGGGTCTGGGACAAAGACGAGACTCACCCTTCAGTAAGCGGACAGATGTGTCCAAGTTGACGTCTGGGCGGCCATCTTTGCTGAAGTATCGAGAAATCTGTGGCTCGTTTCCTCTAAAGGTGGTGGTTGTGGCGGTAAACAGCTCCCCGTCTGCACCCGAACAAACCAAAATGACAGATTGTGTTTTTGAAGTGTAGACCAGTTCACACGGAGACAACAGGAAACACAACACATGAAACACAAAACACTTATTTAGTTTAAAACCTCTAAGACACAGAGACGCTGAATGATGCAGAAAACCTAAACTAAAGCAAGAAAACAGGAAGAACTTAGCAACAAAGACAATTTCACCACAACACAAAATTTGTTACAGTTCCTGACCGTTAAATGTTAAATGGACTGTACTTATACAGCTCCTTCTGTCTAATCCAGAGCCTCAAAGCTCTTTACAGCACACTCTGTGCCTCATTTACCTCCACACACACACTCATACAGCTCTCTACTACACACACACACATTCATACAGCTCTCTACTACACACACACACGCACACATTCATACAGCTCTCTACTACACACACACTCATACAGCACTCTACTACACACACACACGCACACATTCATACAGCTCTCTACTACACACACACACGCACACATTCATACAGCTCTCTACTACACACGCACGCACGCACACACACACAAACACACACATTCATACAGCTCTCTACTACACAATACAGGGGAGTGGTGGCACAGATGTTAGAGAAGATGAGCCTGTGAACGAAAGGGCGATGGTTCGACTCCCTGGACTGACAACAGCAGAATGTTGGTGGGAAAGGTGATCTCCCACACCTGCCTCCACCCTCCTTTACACCACTCTGAGCCATTGAGCAAGGCCCTTAACCCCCGCCATCTGCTCCCAAAAACAGGTCTCTCTTGAAAATGAGTCCTCGGGACTCAATGAGACTACCTGGATAAATAAAGGTTCAATAAAATATTCTCTACAAAGATCATCTGAATCTGTAGAGACTAATCAGAGCTTTAGATCACAGACACTGATGGGACACATGTCAGAAGCAATGAGAGGTTCAGTGTCTTGGCCAGGGACATTTCAGAATGTGACTGCTGGTGGAATCGAACCCCCAACTCTCCCATTGGGGGATGACTGCTCCAGCCACAGCTGTCCCTTTAACCTGGACAGTTTGTCCTTTAGGGCAAAAACTGTCCAGGTTAAAGGGTATCAGAGATAATCCCAAAAAATAATAAAAAAGCAACTAGACTTAAATTCTGTATGAAGACAGAGGAACTACCAGCTCTCCTCCTTGAATCTCCACCTTTTCGTGGTGGAGGAGTTTGTGCGCCTGATTGATCCTAGGAGCTCTGCTGTCGGGGGCCATGGCCCATGGTAGAGTCTCCCAAGACAGATTGGTCCGAGGTGACAGGCCATACAAAGAGTGATTCAGAAGACTTATATGGACAGGACAAAACAACGAGCTCAGTGTCCCTTGCCCAGACGTGGGTTACCGGGGCCCCACCCTGGAGCCAGGCCTGGGGGAGGGGCTCATCGATGAGCACCTGGTGAACAGATCTCTACTCATGGGGTCCGGTCAGGCTCAGCCCAAATGAGCAAAATGGGTTTGCTTTCCTGAGAGCCCACCACTTGCAGGAGGGGCCATATGAGTCGGTTGCATGATGCCATGGGCAGTGGCCGAAGGTGGGGGCCTTGGCGCTCTGACCCTGGCTTACCAAAGCTCTTGGGACATGGAATGTCGGGGAAAGAGTCTGAGCTTGTGAGGATGAGATGTACCGGCTAGATATAGTTGGGCTCACCTCGCAGAACAGCATGGTGGAACTGATCTCCTTAAGAGAGGCTGGACATTATTCCACTCTGGAATTGCCCATGGTGGGAGGCGCCAAGCTGGTGTGGATCTACTCTTAGCCCCCCGACTTGGTGCCTGTGTGCTGGAGTTTTCCCTGCACCTTCGATGGGCTCTGACAGTTGTTCTTGCCTACGCACCAAAAGGCAGTTCAGAGTATCCAGTCAGGTTAGGATGCTCCCTGGGCACCTCCCTAGGGAGGTGCTTCAGGACAGTCCGACTGGGAGGAGACACTAGGCAAGACCAAGGACACGCTGGAGAGACTATGTCTCTTGGTTGGTCTGGAAACACCCTGGAGTCCTCCCAGAAGAGCTGGAAGAGGCTGTGGAGAGCGATGTCTGGACCTCCCTGCTCAAGATGCTGCCCCGAGACCTGAGTCCAGAACAAGATGATGGATAGATGATGAATGGATGGATGATGATGGATGGATGATGAATGGATGGATGATGATGGATGATGAATGGATGGATGATGATGGATGATGATGAATGGATGATGATGATGGATGATGATGAATGGATGGATGATGGATGGATGGATGATGATGGATGGGTGGGTGGATGGATGATGGATGGGTGAATGGATGATGGATGATGATTGTATGTACGGATGATGGATGGATGATGGATGATGAATGTATGTATGGATGATGGATGGATGGATGATGATGGCTGAATGATGATGGATGAATGATGATGGATGATGAATGTATGTATGGATGATGGATGGATGATGAATGTATGTATGGATGGATGATGATGGATGAATGATGATGGATGGACGAATGGATGGATGATGGAACTACAAGCTGCCATTGTAGATGTGGAAAGAGATGAAGCCTGAACCTTGAGGTTTATAAGAACCCGATCCACAGGTCAGAACCTTGTGTTTGGGTCTCACCACCTACTGGAACACAAACGTTCTGTCTTCAGAACCCTACACCATCTGGCAGAAGACGTCCTCGTGAAGACAGAACAGAAAGACATCAAGAAGTTCTCCAAACCTGTGGGTATGAGCATTTAAGATCTAATAGGACCCTCAGACAGCTGGGCCATCCTGTGGCCAGAACTTCCTAACCCAGACTGAAGTGTGGTGTCTGCAGAGCTGGACCAACACCAGAGAGCAGCTCTTCAGGACCAGACCCAGAGGTTCACCTGCACCTCAGAGGGACACTCTGCTGAGAACCAACAGGTCCAGATGTTGGACAGAGAGGACAGCTGGTCGGAGAGGAGGTGAAGGAAACAACTAAACGGGAGGAGGTCTCAGAGTTCAGCTTTCTGTAACCTATGGAGCAGCTTCAGATCTGACCCCAGGTCAGCTCCACACCTTCATGCAGGTGACCCAAACATCTGTCTGAACCAGACTGACAAAGAGCCTGATGACCCTCAGCAGTGAGGGGAGGGATTCATCTCAGCTCCATAAACAGATCATCTCCTGCAGCCAGGAACTCCACACTGTCCACTTCTGAAGGAAGCTCCCACCACAAAAAGGTAGTCCAGCTGGTTCTTCTAGTTTTGGACCTCCTGGAGGAGAGGACCAGGAGGAGCACATTGTGTCAGAGCTGTGACTCAAACTGACCGATGGCGACTGCAGCGCTCCTCTCAAAGGGGCTGAACGGACAGTGACCTTTAGCTCCGCCCTGATGGACCACAGAGAAGCTTTCAATGTCCTGCAGGAGACAAACAGAACGATGAGACAACTGGACCAGTCGTGTTTGTTGTGGACGAAGAGGACAGTCCACAAGAAGAACACTTCCTCTGAACTCTGGGAGGACCTACGATGAAGGCCTCATGGGGGTTGTAGGCGTAGCTGCCGCAGGCGTACAGGTGGGAGGAGTTTATTAGTTGAAGTACGTGGACAAAGTTTGGACAGTCAACCTGAAGAATGGACAGAAGGGACACCACGTCAGAGAAGATCATTTCCAGACCAACACGAGATCTTTGTGGTCCACGGGGACCAGATCCTACCGTCCGACTCTTCCCCGTCTGTCCGCAGCGGATGATCTCGTCCTCAGACGGACTCCACGCCACCTGAACACAAACACACCTGCAATGAAGCAGCCATGATGAGAGGACCTCTCATCCTTACACCCTCCCACCTTCTTCAGGCTGATGACATCACTACGACTGACGTCCAATGAAAGGACGGCGTCTTGTGCCCCCACGTAGAGGGTGGAGCCATCGTCGCTCAGCAACAGGGTGGTGGTGTTCAGGACGCTGCGGTGGACCAGAGGACGCTCCGTCGAGTCTGAGACACACGCACACGCACACATACACGCACACACACACATACACACGCACACACACACGTGCACACACAGACACACGCACGCACAGACACACGCACGCACACACACACACGCACACACACACACGCACACACACACACACACAGACACACGCACGCACACACGCACACACACACGCACGCACGCACACACACACACACGTGCACGCACAGACACACGCACGCACACAGTGTTCTAGTGAAGCTTTAAGTGTCGAAGCGTTTCTGAATCTTTGATTAAATAAAACTGAGAATCATGAAAATTAAACTTGAATTCGAGACTTGTTAAACGTATTAAATGTATTCTGCTCATCTGAACGCTGGCGGTGGCAGCACCATGGTGTGGGCCAGCCACTGGCAGAGCGACTCACCTTCATCGTTAAAACGACCCAAAATAAACAGAACGGGTCAAACCAGAACCTGAGACCGTAAACGGACCAGAACCAGACTGACAGCTGAAACTGGAGGGAGACTTTCAGAATAAGACGTGTTGATGAAAGTAAACCGTTGATTTCATGTAAAGCTTCGTTGATCATAAAGTGACAGGAATAAAGTTCAAGGTTCTTGCGGTCTGGTCCGGGTGGGCCCGTAGAACCTGATGGTTCTGGTTGCTCCGAGGCTTTGAGTGGAAAGTGTCTGCGGTGACCTGAAGCAAACGAACGCCTCCGCTCGTCCTCTACGAGGTTTCTTTCATGGTTTTACAAGACGAGACCAGAACCGAGCCCGGCAAACCCACAGAACCTCCCCGAGCCCGTTTGGACCCTGATGTCTGAAAATAAAGACGTGTTTGTGGCTGAAGACGAGAAGTGAGCTCAACACGAGGCTCGTGCTTCTCCGTCAGCCGACAGTGGTTCTGTTTCTGGACTCGAGGTTCTGGTTCTGACAGAAACCCGTCCTGATCTGAAGAAAAGCCGAAAACCATCACGACTCGCCTCGTTTCTTTGATCTGAGCTGCGCGTGAGAAGCGTCTGCAGGTCCAGCACACGGCCGTGAACTGTTAACGCTTCCTGAGCTCAGGGTCTGCGCTGGCCACGACTCTCAGCTACTACCACCCCCAACATGAGCCAGTACAGGTCTTGAATCAGGTCAGTAAGTACCTGCAGATCCGTCCACTGATTCATGAGATATTTTGCTAACAGATAAAAACACGTGTAGCTCGTCAGCAGAGCTCGGAGAAATTTATTGATGATAAGAACTGAAGAACTTTGTTCTTGGTTCCAACAAAACGTGTTTTATTCTGACAGACAGGAAGTGACAGAAACCTTCAGAGGACCTTTGGTGCGGGGACGTTAGACTCGAGGTTCAGGGTGGTCCTTGGACTGGACATGGGTCTGGTTCTGAAGTCCTGCTCAGACGAAATGAGTTTCTGTGTCTGAGCTTTAACCTTTAATAAATGTTCCATCGAAGCTCGTCGTTAAAAGACTGGTCAAAAACAAACAAACAAACAAACAAACAAACAAACAACTGCTGTTTATCTAATGATGGCTGACGATGTGTTTGTTTACCTGGCATGAGGACAGCTTTGTTTATGTTTACACTCTGTTAACCTGTTTGTTTACACCGAGTGCGTACCCGCGGTTCATATGAACAACACCGTCTGATAAACTTTGGACAGAATATCTTTAAATATTATTATAAAATATTCATGATTAATATAGGATTAATTACTCATTAATAAATGTATACTTGTGTTCAAATAACTAATTTAATCTCATACAGACTCAGTTTTTTTATCTAAAACATTAAACCAAGATCTTTACGATACATTTTATATTTTCCAGCTCATAAAAACTTATGTCGATGTTTCCGTTTAAAAACAGAAAAACTGAATCATTAAAGAGAAACTTTCTGCAGATTAAATTAGATTAAAGGACCCCCCCCCCCCCCCCATCAGTTCAACATTTAATAAACTGCTTGAAGCTTTTACACATTCAAGATCTGACCCCAGACCAGCTGGTGACTTTATAAAGTATGTGTGTGTAGTTTGTGTGTGTAGTTTGTGTGTGTCTCTCTGTGTAGTTTGTGTAATCTGGTCGTATTTGCAGCTGAGCTGTGAGTTTCATCATCTTTCTGGTTCCAAAGGAGTCATTGTTTTGTGATCCCCAGCTCTCACTGGACCCAGTCCACCGCTGGGAGGAGGACCAGAACCTCCAAGTCTGAGGCCATTGTCCTCCATCAGTAAAGAGTGGACCGTCCTCTATGGGTTGAGGTTCTGCCTCCAGTGGAGGACTTCAAGTGTCTCTGGTTTTGTTCCCAGTGAGGAAGAACAGAGTGGGAGGTCTACAGACGGACCGGGGCGGCTTCTGCAGTAAGACGGACAGACAGACATGAACGCTCCTACAAGAACCCTGCAGATGTTGGATGCTGCAGATGTTGGATGCTGCAGATGTTGGATGCTGTCTATCATGGTGCACTAAGATTCATAACTGGCTGTAACTACCGTACCCACCACTGCACCTAGTATCCACTGGTTAACTGGTCACCATTAACTTCACACAGACTCTCCCACTGGTACATCTTCATCTTTAAATCACTTCCTGGTCTGCTGCCTTCATACATCTCCTCCTACATGTCTCTGTGTGAGTGCAGCTACAGCGTGCGCTCTCAGGACATCATTACCTGCAGTGTTCCCTCAGTGAGGACTGAACTAGACAAAAGGACCTTCTCCTACTCCGCTCCTGTTTCCTGGAACATCTTGTAAAAAGACCTGAAGCTCTCGACCATTGACCTCTCTAAGTGGCTTCAAACATCTGATAAGTTCCTGCAGATGTTCCTGTTTGTAGTTTTCTACATCGCTCTGCAATGTAGATGTTTTTTATTTAATTTATTAAATTTTCATTGTCTATGTTTTTTATATAACTGTCCACTGTTGTCATCACTTTTTGTTAAAACCAGGTGTCTCTTGTAAACGAGTCCTCGAGGCTCAATGAGACCAACCTGCAGAAATAAAGGTTGATTGAAAAAAAAAACACGATGGACAGATGGATGATGGACAGATGGATGTTGGACAGATGGACAGATGGATGATGGACAGATGGATGATGGACAGATGGATGA